AGTAATGTCTGAGAAATAAGAAACAAATGGGGAGACTTACAATTATTCCAGCTTACCGCCCTAAGAATTTCCAAGTTAATCGTCAAGGAAGCAAAACCCAGAGGAAGCTTGTCTGCTATGAGGGACTGATGGAGACGGAACTGAGAGTACACAGCCTTTAGAGTTCAAAAGATTTGGCATGAACTTCCAAAACCTGCCCCCCAACCCCCAACAAATGCCTCCTATACATTCAGTTGAGTCCTAATCACCTAATATATATTAAAATGCTACCAAATATATAGGAAATAAACCTCAAATGGGTAAGACCATAGTTCCTAATACATACATAAGTTTATAAATAGTGCCTATTTCCACAAATTTACTGAACATATCAAGATTTAGGAGACCTTAAGTAGAATATTAGAGTACAATTAGTCCTGGCCCCTGCTCTAGCCATGCAAAACAAACCTTAAAAACAATATTTCAAGAAGCAGCTATTTCTGGAGAACTTAACACAATCCAAACATAATTATAGAAACATAAAAAATGTTCAGCAACCAAAAAAGTACAATTCACAATTTTACTAGGATCCAATAAAATCAAATCAAATCTGGTATTTGACAGTTCATTTTTATGTCAATTTGGTTGAAGCCGTGTTCTCAGTTGTTTTGAAGTTAAGGTCTAATTATCTCTTGTCCATAAGAGCCAAAATACCACCTTGAGTATATCCCACCTGAATTTTAAGAACACCCGAAGAACAGATTTACTGCACAGAAACCTAATGACCAAAACCCTGATGAGCTGTGGGAGGAGGACATCAGGAACATCATTTCAGAGGAAAGAAAAAGGTCATTAAACATACAAGAAAGGAAGAAAAGATCAGAGTGGATGTCAGGAGAGACTCTGAAATTGCTCCTAATGATCGAGAAGCTAAGGCAAAAGGCAGAAATAATGAAGCCAAAGAGCTCAGTAGAAACCTTCAAGGACAGCGGGAGGAGACAGATTATGATGTACAATGAGGCGTGTACAGCCCTAGAATCAGAACAACAAAAAGGAAGAGCATGCCCGGCATACCTTAAACTGAAAGCACTCAAGAAAGAGTCAAACCTCAAGTTGAGACACTGAGAGATTCTACAGTTAACACATTGAATGATGCAGGAACATCAAAAGATGATGGAAAGAATATCCAAAGTCACTGTGCCAAAAAGAATGAGTCAGCGTTCCATCATTTTGGGAGGGAGCATATGAACAAGAACCAATTGTGCTGATGGAAGAAGTTCAAGCTGCATGGAAAGCATTAAAGCACAAGGCTCAGGAAATGATGGAATAGCAAATGAAACGTTTCAACAAGCTGATGAAGCATTGGAAGCACTCAATGTCTCTGCTAAGAAACTTGGAAGTCAGCTACTTGGCCAACTCACTGTAAGTGATGCTATTTATACTCATTTCAAAGAAAGGTGATCCAACAGAATGCTCAAATTATAGAACCATATCATTGTCATATGCAACAACATTTTTGCTGAAGATCATCCGACAATGCTAACCTTCTGGTTAGCCCATAACCCTATGTGACCTCCTTTTGATAGTGCATCAGAAAACAAACAAAACACCTCAACTGCCATGGAGTCAATTATGATTCATGGTGACCTTAAAAGGACAGGGTAGAACTGTCACTTAGGGTTACCAACACTGTAAATCTTTACGAGAAGAAAGCATCATATTTCTCCCAATTGATAGTACAAGTAGATATGAAATCAGGAAGAATATAGAAACTGGAAAACACTATAAATCACGTGACCAATTTAACACAAAACATATTAAGTGTTCTTCAGATTGAAATAATAAATTAGAATGCATTAATATGCAGGTTGCACATCAATTAAGAGAAACATGTGTACATATAGTCATTAAATCGCCGGGGGCTTAAGTGGAGAGCAAATGTTTTGAGAATGATGAGGGCAATGAATATACAAATGTGCTTTACACAATTGATATATGTATGGATTGTGATAAGAGTCATATGAGCCCCTAGTAAAACGATTTAAAAAAAAAACCAGGAAAAAAATCATTAAATCACATAAATCATTAAATCACATTAAATGAAGATGACACAGTTTAATGGCATGGACATGTATTTCTTTACTCTCTTTAGCTCATTTAATTAATGTAAGGATTTCATTATTATAAATGTGATTTCTAAATTTTCTACATACAATTTATGGATGAATTATTTACTTGACTTAAAATGAATTTCAAGAGCTTTATAATCTATGAAATTTATAAAATTAAAAGTGTAACACAGTGGTATTCTATAAACAGTGGAACGTATCCTCGAAAGAAGACAGGAACAGACATATGTTTCACAATACATTGTGAAACTTTCAAAGACAGCCATACAAAATACACCATAGTCATTGATTCAAAAGTTCCTTGGCTTACAAAATATGGCACGTAAGAAAAAAATAGCCTAGGACAGAATAAGTACTTCCAATTAAACAGTAAAAAGAAGACACACAATTTCTGAGATGTTGAACTGTAAAATGTGGACATTCTGGGATGTCACATGAGTGTGCCGAGTTGTTATATGGGTGCTCTGAGCTGTTCAAACATAAATGGATATGGCTTTTGCAATCTTCATCTAAAAATTTCTGCCCTAAGATGAATTTTATGTGATCTGAAGTCTGACTGTTGACTGAATTGAATAGCGATTCCAGGCTTAGTCTCCCAGGGAAAACTGATAAATTCCCTGCTTTTAATACTTGGAGAAAGAGATTGCTAAATTCTATACTGGCTAATATTATGAAAACAGTATAGGAATAACATGGCTAGATAAAACCTTTAACAGCAAATAGCTTAGCATTGCTCTAACTCAAGCCACATTTTAGCTTATGATTCAAATTAATTATTGGAATTACTCTTGGGTGCTTTCTCTCCAGAGGTTCGACAGAACTTGAAACTTATAAATACCAAGAAAATACTGAAAATAGAAGAAGTCTTTTAAAAACTGAATTTTGATATAATTAAAATACAGATTATACAGGTCACATACAGGTTTAGTAGTAGGGTGGCAGGTGGACATTGGGCCTCGTCATGCGCACTCCCCTAATACAAGAGCTCCTTGCTCAGCTAAACGGTCATTTCATGATATCTACCTTCCCAACATGATTGCTGAAGACATATGTGTGCACAAGAAAATGTGGTGAAGGAAGCCGATGGTGCCCGGCTATCAAAAGATATAGCATCTGGGGTCTTAAAGGCTTGTAGGCTAACAAGCGGCCACCTAGCTCAGAAACAACAAAGTCCACAGAGAAGAAGCACACGAGCCTGTGCGAACACCAGGTGTTGGGGGGAACAGGCAGCAGACACCAAAGAACAAAAACCATCATTGTGTGACCACCTACCCCACATAAACGCTGAAGACGAATGTGTGCATAAGTAAGTGTGGTGAAGAAGGCTGATGGTGCCCGGCTATCGAGGCCTATAGTGTCTGGGGACTTAAAGGCTTGAAAGTAAACAAGCGGCCATCTAGCCCAGAAGCAACAAAGCCCACATGGAAGCAGCACACCAACATGTGTGATCATGAAGGGCCAAAGGGACCAGGCTTTAAACACCAAAGGCGGGGAGAAAAATCATATCCTCGTCAATGAGGGTGGCGCGTGATGGGGACCCAATGCCCATCTCTAGACAACTGGACATACCTTGCAGAGGGGTAGGGGGAGATAAGTCACTTAGGGTTCAGTATAACAATAATGAAACCCACAACCTTCCTCTAGTTCTTAAACGCTTCCTCCCCCCAACTACCAGGACCCCAATTCTGCCTTGCAGATCTGGCTAGACCAGATGATGCACAGCGGTACAGATGGGAATTGGAAATGCAGGGAATCTAGGACAGATGAACCACTCAGGACCAGGGGTGACAGTGGCGATACCAGGAGTGAAGGGGGGTGTAGGAAGGGGGAATTGATCACAGAGAACTACATATAACCTCCTCCTCTCTGGGGGATGGGCAACAGAGGGGTAGTTGAAGGGAGACGCCGGGCAGTGTAATATAAGACATAATAATAATTTATAAATTATCAAGGGTGCATGGGGGAGGGGGGCAGAGGAAGGGAGGGGGAGGCGGGGAAAGGAAAATGAGCTGATTCCGGGAACCCAAGAGGCAAGCGAATTTTGGGAATGATGAGGGCAACAAATGTATAGATTTGTTGTATACATTTGTTGTATACAACAACAAATGTATACAATTGATCTATGTATTGTGATGAATTGTATGAGCCCCAATAAATTGATTTTAAAAAAAATCAAACCAACATACAAATGAAAATACAACCAGGAAAACAAAACAGAGAAATGTCCCAATTAAAGAAAAAAATATTAACAGGTAACATAGTCACAATTAGTCTATATGAAATGTATTTGATTGAAATCTGCTCAAAATACTATGCTCAAGGCAAAACACCTTTGTTAACCTTTGAAGCATTCTCCAAAGAATTCTCTCTGAGTCAAATTTATTTTAATAATTAAAAACATTAGCCTTTCTTTAAGCAATGGTAAATCACACATGTGCTTTATGGTAAATTATTCAAGTTTCTTTTAGGGGTATGAAATATAAGCTGAGTCTCACAGAGTTGGATCTTAGAACATTGGTATGGTAGAAAATATTACTAGAAATGAATTTTCTCTAAGAGATAGGATTACATAATGGACTACCAGCTCAATGGCAATGCTATTCTTTAAAACTTTTTGTTTATTGTATATCTTACAGTATAAACCAAACCTACTTCCTTCAGTCAATTTGGACTTACATAGGGTTTGGGAGATTGTAAATCTTGATGTGAACACTCTCATTTTTCTCCTCTGGAACAGCTGCTGGTTTTGAATCACAGACCTTGTTGGTAGAAGGCCAATGATTAACTGACAGTGTCACCAGAGCTCCTTGTTTACAGCATAGTCATGATTCTCGGGACAGATGTATAGTTTCATCTGCATTAGGCATTTTACAAATTACCTGGCTGACTTACCTTATCTTTTCTTTGCTTTTCATCTTGGTACACAGTCCAGTGCTCTCCATCATTGCTGTAAGCTAGTTTGTAGGAACCTACAAACTGAACATGGCCAAAATCTTTTGCTCCCTGTGTGATAATGCCAGTCACTTTGGTAGGGACAAGAAGATCCACCTACGAGAAGAAAAAACAAACAAACACAAAATTTAAATTCAGCACTCGAGTTTAGCCTGATTGTCAGTATTTTGAAACGGACTCTATCATTGACTTATAATTTTTTTCTTGCTACACAGAAACTTTAATTCAAGTTTCCTTGAACAACTATTCTGATCATTTTAAGGTAAGAGAATAGCAACTTCAGCCCACTGATCCTTTCTGTACTAAACTGACTTATCTAGCTGCGTGTGGGTTTGAGTCAATTGCATAGAACCAGAACTGGCAAGGCAGGCCATCTTGAAACTGATCATTAACTCCCACCACTTGTGCTTATGATTCAATTACTGATTGTAATGGCCAATTAAGTAATAATAAAAATGGTTGCCGTTGCATAAATACTAGGAGCAGCGGAGGTTTCACAATTACACATTAAATAAGGTCAACTCTGCTTCCTTAAGTTCCCCCCATTCAGTAGCATATAATTGAGTAATAGTGGTCATTGTCCCTTGAAAAAAATCCAAAGGAGGATTAAAAAAACCAAACTTCTGACATGTGGGAAGTATGTTCATGTGACCTGCCCTCCATGGTGTGCACTTGAAGGGCACAAGACCCTTGGCAATTTATTAAGCATTCAACTCACCAAAGTAAATGGAGATGCAAATGATGTGGATGATAATATATATGAATTTCATCCAAGGCGAATATATAATATCTGGTAGTTCAGTGTTTTCCTGCGTCATTCGCTAATCACCCATACATGTTATAATGCTGACTTTATTATTTTATTTTATTTTTTTTAGAATGCTGATTTTAAAGAAAAGTCTAGGAATTTAAAGAAAAGCCTTGATTTCCATGTGGACAACTGTTGTAAAAACTTCACAATTTATCTTATTTCTTTTCCTTGACATATAGCTTCCTTTCTATTTCTACAATAGCCACCTACTTCCACTTACTTCCTATGAGTGAATGCCTTATTATATCCCTGATCTTATCAATTTTAACGGTCATAGTCCTGTCTGTGACCTTGTGGCTGTCAACCGCCATGTCCTCTGGATTCCCTTTCAGGTCTTCCATCCTCTGAGACACAAAGTAGCCAAAAATAAACAGTCATGGGTCAAACACAGGTCCTGGGGAGAAGAGTGAGCACGGAATGATACAAAGTAGTAGACTATATTGAATGCCACAGATGCCAACCACAGAGATAGAACAATAAAAGTCTCCAGTGTGTCCCAGTCTGGAAATAGATGACTTTTTAAAATCCCCTGAGATGTTTGCTCATTTTTTGAAACACACATTAGAGGCTTCCGGATCAATTGAGTCGTCTGATAAAGAAAACTGCTTTTAATGTCTTATTAAAACATTTCTAAAGGTCCACTCAAAATCTAAAGTATCGTTTTGTAGTGGATGTTCTCCAAATGTGTCTTGTGTTTCATAAAATCGGTTGTAGACCAGCAGCCAGGCTGTGAGAGACACTGAGAAACTGAGAAGGAAACAAGGAGTACTAGGTGTGTGGTGGTTGGGCCGCCATCCATAACACCAGCAGTTGGAAGCCACCTGACAGGACTTTCCAGTTGCACCAAGTTAGGGTGCACAAGAAACCCGCAGGGGCAGTTTTAGCCTGCCCTATAGGCTCGCTATGAGTCAGCATGGGCTCGAGACTGTGAATTAAAGATGGAGGAATTTGATGCATTAGGCTAAGTGTTTTCTATGGACTCATTTAAACCTCTCCATAAACCGACAAAGGAAGATATAATTTCTACCTCCCAGATGATGTGCAGAGAGGTGGCATAACTTGGTGTGCGCATCCAGAGATTGTTAGTTAGTAAGTATAGAGCATCTCCAGTTCAAATATGTAGCTTTCTAATTCCTAGGTCCACTGTACATACTGATTCTTAATCTAAAGGAATAACACGTGGGTTTCATTTTCCACCCAGTGATTTCTTCCTGTTCTCCATGGCAATTTAGAAAATTCCAAAAAATTGAGAAGTCTTCTCACCACACTCATCAAACTGACAGAGACACTGAACCCTAAACAAAATCCATCCAGGATTTACAATCCTAGGACAGCCCTGTCTTGGATCATGAATTTTTGCTCTGTTCAATGGCTGTCGGGGCTGAAAAATATGGATTGCTTTTGTTGTCCTAAATCCGAATCTAATTGCATACTGACACCTGGGCAAAGCTGCTGTTCTTCAAAGTGCGCTGAGTATTACTGACAATAAATGATAGGGGGAGAAAAGAACTCGGAGTCACTGTGCTGCCACCACAGACTGCAGACACACAGAAACTTAAGCTCTGTTCCCAAGGATATGAAAAACCTCCAGGGCTGGATTCTTCAGGCCCTTTGCTTCTATAAGTACTCAGCTAAGATGGCACAGCGAGGAGTCTTCCAACACCTATCCTCCCCTGCACCTTTTTTCTCCCAAATATTTCTTAAAAGCAGCTCGGTTTCCTGCTGGGTGGAGCTGTTTTCTCCTTCAGTTGTGTGTCTTGGCTCTTTCCAACTGATATGTTTTTCTCCCTCTCTAACCACTCCCCTTCTCCAGCATTTTTTTTTTTTTGAATCTAGAATTTTTTTTTTTGTTCCAGTTAAGTCAGTATCTTCATGTAAATAGTCAGCAATCTGTTTCAAACTGGCTTTTGTCCTAAAATTTACTACATTAAGCTTTGAATACCAGGCCTGAGCAGATCTTGTTGCAGTACAAAAAATGATCAGCAGCTCACACTTGACATGAGGCTGTTGAAACAGGGCACGTAGAGCACTTGTCCAGAGACACACTGTGTGGCAGGCAAGCCCGGAGTTCAGCATGTGGGCTATTCCCAGAGAAGCTGGATGCTCAGAACTGGAGGCTTACCCTTGGTTTAGAACCACTGTCCATTTATAGAATAAAATCATGTTAAAGGTGGCCTGGAACTACTATAGACTAAGTATCTTGTGATATTTTAGACCCTCATCTCCCAGGGTTTAACTCAAATGCCAAAATATGAAACCCTGCAAAAACCCCCAAACCCCCAGTTTACTGCCCTCCAGTCAATTGCTACTCTTAGCAACCCTACATAAACAGAGTAGAATTGTCCGTATGAGTTTCTGAAACTGTTACTCTTTTGAGGATTATAAAAACCTCATCTTTATTCTCTACAGTGGCTGGTGGTTTTGAACTACATTACTGACCTCATGGTTAGTAGCCCAACATATAACCCATTATGGCATTATCGATCCTCTTTGACTCAAATGAGTATACATTCAGCTTAGTGTACTGCCCTTCATTTCTGGGTCTTTCTGAAAGTATCTTGCATGCAACATACCATTAATAAAGATTTTATTGGAATACACTTAAGCTATTTTCTAAATAGGTTTTATGGACAAAGAAAGCAAAAGCCAGTTAATGCTACTGTTCCATGTCATAGCAATAAATACAAGCTTGTGTTTTATTGTTTTTTACCTGTGGGTAACATTATAGATGAAGGAGACACAGTGGCATAGGGGTAATAACCGGTTTTCACTAGTGAAGGCAGGTAGGTAGCCTTCTGGAATTTGATTGTGAGATGCGGCCCTTTCTAGGGAAGCAAGTGTTCTGAGCTCCTGAACTGGCTCTTTCCTTATGATCTCTGCCTTGTTGGATACACTGCTGTAAATTTTTTTGGCCTCATTTTATTATTTACAAAATTATCCTAGTAACCCCTAGGGCTTTATGTGAGGATTTTGGTCTTCTTTATATTAGGTTATAGTCCATTCCGATGGCTGGAATCCTTAATCTGCCTTGGGAGGAGAGTAGCCAGAATGCTCACTAGAGACAAGGATGGTGAGACTTCACCTCCCGTACTGTGGACATGTGGTCAGGAGAGACCAGTCCCTGGGGAAGGACATCCTGCTTGGTCAAGTATAAGGGCAGCAAGAAAGAAAGGCCCTCAGCAGCACTGATTGACACGATGGCTGCGCCAATGGGTTCAAACATAACAGCACTTGTGAGGTAGGTGCAGGACCAAGCAGTGTTTTGCTCTGTTGTGCGTAAGGCGGCTAGAGGTGCCATAGACTCGAAAGTTCTGGATAACACCAGCAGGATGTTATCAACATTGAGAGGGTGGAGGAACATTGGTTAAGCACTAAGCCAGTGGTTCTCAACCTTTCTCATGCCGCAGCCATTTCATTTAGTTTTTCATGGTGTGGTGACCCCCGACCATAATATTATTTTTGTTGCTACTTCATAACTGTAATTTTGCTACTGTTATGAATCGGGCAACCCCTGTGAAGGGTCATTCGACTCCTAAAGGAGGTGCGACCCACAGGTTGAGAACCGCTGCACTAAGCTAATAACCAAGGCTCAAACCCACCACGTGTCCCATGAGAGAAAGATGAGGCAGTTTGCTATTGGAAGTGTACAGCCTTGGACACCCTCAGGGGCAGTTCTGCGCTGTCCTCTTGGGGCTCTCGGATCAGAATTGACAGATGGCAATAGGGTGCTGCCATCAGTAGGTGCCGTTGAGATAGTTCTGACTCACAAAAAACCAATGTACAGCAGAGTGAAACACCTCGAGGTCCGTGCATCATCCTAACAATTGTTTTTATGTTTGAGCCCATTGTTGCAGCCACTGCATCAATCCATCTTGTTTAGGACCATCCTTTTTATTTGTTTTGTTTTCATTGTCCCTCTACTTTACCAAGAATGGTGTCAATTTCCAGGGACACATGGCTCCTGCACCATGTCCAAAAAGTTTCAGTCTTGTCATTTGAGTCTCTAAAAAGCATTCTGGCAGACAAATTTGTCTGTTCTTTGTCAGACCATGCTGTTTTCAATATTCTTCACCAACACCATAGTTAATATATATCAATTATTCCATCTTCCTTATTCAATGTCCAACTTATATATGCATATGATGGCAATGGCTAGTGTATACAAAAATATACAGGCTATATTGGGCATTGGATATAATAAAACAAAGTAAATAGATCTATGAGACATAACCTAATATTAGTCTCAGAGTACATAACCAGAAACATAATTATAAAAAGTGAGAAA